GGCACTCATTTTACGATGGAGCCTTTATTTAATATGAGATTATACACAAGCTTTTAAATTTTTACTCTCAATTTTTACTCTCTAGTCTTGTCGTCGTTTAAATTAAAATTTGTGTCAAATAAAAAGGCGATAACAGTTTATAGAATTTTACGTGCAATCTTGTATATGTTTGTTGGTTTCAGTTTTAAAAACGACGGTTCGTTAACTTCCAGTCAATATATGTGCGTTCATTTTAGTGTTTGTTTTTTTACAGTGCATGGTGGCTATAGTGAATGGTCCAAGTTTAGTGAATGCAGTCAGACCTGTGGTAATGCGACTAAGATAAGAACGCGCAATTGTACAAATCCTGTACCAAAACATAGAGGCAGAGATTGTTCACTTCTTGGACCAGATCATGAAATACAATACTGTAAAATGCCTCATTGTCCAGTCCATGGTGGATATGAGTGGACAACATTTTCGAGATGTACAGAAAGTTGTGGTACTGGAGAAAAGTACCGYCATCAAACGTGYACAAATCCTAAACCTGCACATGGCGGAAGAGAATGTTCACCGTCTCCACTAAAAGAAACCCAGGCTTGCAATACAAACCCTTGTCCTGTAGATGGCAAATTTACTGCATGGTCCGAATACAGCAACTGCACTAAGTCTTGCGAGAATGGAACAAAGTTTCGGTATCGTAATTGCACGAACCCTGCACCACAGCACGGAGGGCGAAAATGCCAGGGGGCAACTTTAGAGGTTATTGAATGCAATACTCACAAATGCCCCATTAATGGTGGCTTCACACAGTGGTCGAAMTTCACGGAATGTTCGAAATCGTGCGGGAATGGCACAAAGTTTCGGTATCGTAATTGTACGAACCCYATTCCAAAATTTAATGGAAAGAACTGYGTGGATTATTTAGGKCCGGACAACGAGACTATTTTATGCAACACCCACTATTGTYCCATCGATGGTGGGTTTACTAACTGGACAGAATTTAGTAACTGCTCGAAATCATGCGGRAAAGGCACTAGATTTCGCTACCGCAATTGCACCAATCCATCTCCCCAACACGGAGGGAAGAATTGCTCTGGAAAAAATTATATAGTAGAATTATGTAACACACATAAATGCCCAATCGATGGTGGCTACACTGATTGGTCGAATTTCACTGAATGCACAGTGTCATGCGGTAATGGCACAAAATCTAGACATAGAAATTGCACAAATCCTGTTCCTATGCACAATGGAAAGGATTGTTCACTATTGGGGCCAGCAAAGGAAACCCAATTATGTAATACTCATCACTGTCCAATACACGGTCAATATACACAATGGTCACAATTCACTAACTGTTCGAAATTGTGCGGAAATGGCACTAAATACCGCTTTCGTAGTTGCACCAATCCTGTTCCKCAGTATGGTGGTAATAACTGCTCTGAATTTGGGGATAGTATAACGATTGTTGCATGTAATGTTCATGAATGYCCTATTCAYGGCGGCTTCTCTTCCTGGTCAAATTTCACAGAATGTTCTAAATCGTGCGGAAATGGAACYAAGTATAGAACTCGCAATTGCACTAACCCAGCTCCAAAGCACGGTGGTAGAAACTGCTCTGGGTCTTTAAATGAGACCTTGTTTTGCAATTCGTTTCCTTGTCCTATTGACGGGGGCTACACCGAATGGACAGATTTYAGTAATTGCACAAAACCATGTGGCAAYGGAACAAGGTTTCGAACTAGAGAGTGTACAAATCCACCACCACRACACGGTGGAAAAGAGTGCTCCATTCTAGGAGCTGAAATAGAGACTRCTTTTTGCAATAGGCACTTTTGTCCTATTAACGGAGGCTATACTGAATGGTCAAGTTATAGCGAATGTTCCAAAACATGTGGCTATGGGGAGCAAGTCCGCCTCCGTCATTGTACTAACCCTACCCCACAGCACGGTGGTGAGGATTGTAGTTCGCTTGGAGCACCGAAACAAGAGAGAGAGTGCATGGAGAGAGAATGTCCAATTCACGGTGGATATAGCCCATGGTCACCATTTGGGAAATGCTCAAAATCATGCGGTTCTGGTACAAAAACACGAACGAGAACATGCACAAATCCCGTACCAAAACACGGTGGAAAACCATGCACTCATCTTGGGTCTAATTATGAAATAAGAAACTGCAATAGGCACTCATGTCCGATTAACGGCCGATACACACCATGGTCAAGTTTTAATAAATGTTCAAAATCATGCGGGTCTGGGGTTCAAAGTAGATATAGAACTTGTACAAATCCAGCACCACAGTTCGGGGGTCAAAATTGCTCTCGGTTCGGGTCTAGTATTGAAACAAGAACGTGTAACACCAATTTTTGTCCAGTACACGGGAATTACTCGGAATGGTCAAACTTTACTACTTGTTCGAAATCATGCGGTTCTGGGGTTCAAAGTAGATATAGAACTTGCACAAATCCAGCACCACAGTTTGGGGGTCAAAATTGCTCTAGTTTTGGATCTAGTATTGAAACAAGAACGTGTAACACCAATTTTTGTCCAGTACACGGGAATTACTCGGAATGGTCAAACTTTACCACTTGTTCAAAATCATGTGGGTCTGGGGTTAAAAGTAGATATAGAACTTGCACAAATCCAGCACCACAGTTCGGGGGTCAAAATTGTTCTAGTTTTGGACCTAGTAATGAAACAAAAACGTGCAACACCCATTTTTGTCCAGTACACGGGAATTACTCGAAATGGTCAAACTTTACCACTTGTTCGAAATCATGCGGGAATGGAACGCTTTTCCGAAAGAGAWTTTGCAACAACCCGGTTCCTAAACATGGGGGAAGCAATTGCTCCCATTTAGGGCCAGCAATGGATATACGACAATGCAATGTCTTTCCATGTCCAATAGATGGCAGGTACACTTCATGGAGTTATTTTTCAACGTGTGATAAAAGCTGCAATAATGGTACTAAGTTTAGAACTAGAAATTGTTCTAATCCTTCTCCACAATATGGAGGTAGAAATTGCTCCAAAATTGGACCTTCTATTGAARTAGTSTCTTGCTTTCTTAGACACTGTCCAATTCATGGGCAATTCGGGAATTGGTCCGAGTATGGACCATGCTCGAAGTCTTGTAACATAGGTATAAGAAATAGAACAAGAATGTGTGATTCTCCGAGGCCCCAATACGGTGGAAGCGCCTGCGAAGGAGCATCGATGCAAACAACGGTATGCAATATACATCCCTGTCCTATCCACGGCAATTATACAGCTTGGTCGGAGTTTTCGCCCTGCTCAACATCTTGTGATGGAGGAGTTATGATAAAAACTAGAAACTGTACAAATCCTGAACCAATGCATGGTGGAAGAAACTGCAGTCAACTTGGAGAGTCGAAATTAATACGCAAATGTAACACTCAACGTTGCCCAGGTATGAAATTATAATAGTAATAGCAATWGGTAGTCTCCTTTGCAGCCTCTCTTTTGRAAGTCCGGCAAAAGGAGGGTCCGTGATTGAGAATATACTATAGGGGGTTCAGTGTCGTTCAGATGTTGCGAAGGAAAAACGAAGATCTAGATGATAAACACCAAGTTGATGCACTGTGTTAATATAAATCACCACACTTTGATAAATTCATGAAATTGTGTTGTCCTTATTACATAGATATTGTATTTAACATAACGCTCAATTTAACCCGCCAAACGTGGAGAAACAGTCTGGCAAGCCCTTCAAGTGAAGCGTTCATGAGTCTGAAGTATTCCATCCAAACCCAAGTGAGTAAGAGTTGTTTTTTTTTTCGATTCCTTTGCACTTCACTTTGACTTGCATTTTAAGAAGAAATTTTACTATGTTAATAAACTAACTCAGTCTAAGGAAGGATTACGGACGTAAATTAGGCTTGATTGGCACTCACTGAAACTAGGTTCCAATAGCTCCTATAGAGTTCTTGTCTCTTCTTCCTTCTCAGCGCGTCTCTAATGACAGGTTGTTGAAAAGCAGCAATTGTGGTTTTACCTTTTTCTTTTCCTAGTTAACTGAAAATGCTACTAAGATGGCTAGTATTAAATCTAAAGTTAATTCTCTGAACTCGCACAAAACGAGGCACTTTAGTTAGGTTGGCAATAGCGGATTCTTGGTCATTAGCTCAACCTGCAACCGAACAGTTTGAATCGTTTAAACCTGTTTTAATTCATCCTACAGATTRAAGSTTTGTACGSARRGCAAAAGAAGATATCAAAGGTTGAAGTGTGGAGGATAAGGTAGAAAATAGATGACATCTGGAAATAAGTAATGGCAACAGTATTCTCCTTTGAAACATACTGGGATACTATGATCCTAGTCGCTTTGATTCCGGATTTTAGCCAATAAATTCGATTCGGGCTGGATTCCGGATTTAATTTTTTCTTTTATTTCGGATTCCAAAGTTATTTTTTTTCTTGAGTCTAGATTACATTACAATGCAACACAAGAGGAAATACTTGTGGCCGTAAACTATTTCAACGATGAATGAAAGAAGTCCCAAATAACTTATTTCAAGTCACAATCACTTGAATCATATATGACCTATGTGATCTTGTCAACAGGAAAGGCAGTGTGTTAGTAGACATTCTTCTCAAGTACTACAGTGAAYTATACAAGGGTATAACCGTTCTCCAAGACGCAATATACAGGAAGAAACAACTGGGCAACTTTCAAGTGTCACCAGTACGTCTCTTCACAGAAGATGGTAAGATATCCTGTACTAAGAAAGATACAGATAAAGTTAGAAAGCACAAAATAAAAGGAACTTAAATCTTATTAGTCTGTGCTGTTAAGTATAGGAAAGGATTGGGGGAGTTTCACCCATCTGGAAAAAGGGTTCTCCATCATGTCTCCTCTTTAGTATTGACCATCAGGATAGGCTGTGCACATACTATCATATGTACTAACAATGTCTCGCGTACAATTTATATAATTATTCTGTTATTGAAAATTAGTGATTGAAAGAAGAATAGGAATAAAATACGATTTTCAATGCCAAAAGAAAAAAAATTACATCGAATAAATTCTTAAAATAGTCACTAATAAAGTGTACTTCTTGTTATTTCAGTCCCTTTTGCAGCACCACGAAATGTTTCAGGTCACAACAGCAGTTCCTCCAGCATCTTCCTGTCATGGGAACCAGTCTCTCRCGGATTTACAAACGGAAACATAACCGSCTATCGAATCAGTTACACACAAGCTAGTACTGCTARTACYAGGKTACCACGTGAMATCTCTAAAGAACWCACAGAAAGTGTCCTKGTACCAAATCAACTGAACTATGTCGTCAAAGATTTGAAGCAATTTGCTGACTATGAATTTCGTGTTGCTGCCAAAAATCAGCGAGGGATTGGTGTGGATAGTGATCCAGTTGTCATAAGAACAGACCAAGGCAGTAAGTAGTAGCAGAGTCTAGACCTCCAAATGATTATTAGTTCACAATATATTTTGTGTTTCCAAATTAATAGCTAAATCTCATAATGTAAACACCTTGAGCCCAAGAAAATGAATTCTTCTGTGAGGTGAAAAGGAGACTTGTGCTTACCATAGCAAGACTATCAGTAAGGGATAATTCCTTCCGCTACTCTCTATGAAAATGTTGAAACGGAAAAAAAGTGAGTGGTCGAGGGGTCTGATGAAAAAGAAAAAGCGATCGTGACAAGAGCAAAGTGAGTGATTTTATTTCACTGCTTTCTGAGTGTGACTGACTAAAAAAGGTTATAGAGAATGTGAAGGGCTCAAATCCCGTCCCGGTAATCCAATTTCGAATCCACTCACTACTAGACTTTATGCCTCTGCCAAACAGCGTGCAAACGACATCATAAAAAATGGGTTGAATCACAGTGACTACACTTAATATTTCAAACTTCACAGAGCCTTTCAAACCGCCACCATCACTGAACGCCCAGAACACAAGTTCCCAAAATGTAACTGTTTACTGGTCTGCTATTCCCGAACAAGATATACCTGGATATCTCCAAGGATACCACATATATTATAGCCCTGCAGAAAATAAAACCGCAAAGAAGAACATCATGTCAGTTGATCGCGATGAAAGAAGTGTACWGCTCACAGATCTCGAAAAGTACACTTTGTACACGATACATGTCAGYGGCTTTACCATCAAAGGAGACGGACCCATTGCAAAGACGCACGTGCGAACAGACGAAGATGGTAAGAATACAACCATGCGCTAAGAAAGACCATCGCAAAATGTTATTGTTCATTAAATTAGATGATCCTTAACCATTGTGGAAAAACCCACGAAAGCTTTACTTGAGTTCTGCTTTAGTGGGTCGAAATTTCAAGATCAAAAGAAGTCAAAATATTAAAAAAAAAGGTGGGGGATGGCAATGGTAGTGTATTTTTAGCGGCATTATACACATTTACGCAAATGTAACTGTACATTTTCGGGACCGGAAAGTTTGTTGTCTTTGGAATTGCAAAGTATCAGTTAAAGGTTTTTTATCTTTTTTTATTTTAGTACCCAGTAAACCTCCCCAAAACGTGACTGCACAGAATACCAGCTCCACGAGCATCATGGTTAAGTGGAGACCGATACCAAAACAGTTTGTACATGGAATACTTCGAGGCTACAACATTAGCTATCACGTGACAGAGAAGTCTYCCGTAATCGAGTGGGAGTGGGTAGACGTCCAGGGGACTTTAACACAGGGACGAATTAACGGTTTGGAGAAATTTACAGAATACGTCGTTCAGGTTAGCGCTTACACAGTGAAGGGAGAAGGGCGGCCATCAAAGGCAGTGAATGTCTGGACTGATGAAGATGGTAAGAAACAAAAACTTTTATAACACTCTAGTTGAACACCTCTACATGAATTAAATACTTTCATTCCAATTGCATGTAATTTCATATATCTCTGTTTTATTCCCTGTTCTTAGTTCCTGATGCATTTCCAACCAACTTGACCGGTTTCAACACAAGCTCTACAGAGTTGTACCTTGAATGGTCACATTTAAAAGATAAAGAATGGAATGGTCGAGCAGTTGGATACAAGATATTCTTCAATGCCAAAAGAGGATACAAAAAACAAGAAGTGACAATAAACGCGCACACTTCGCACACCACATTGGATAAACTTCTTAAATTCACATGGTACAAAATTCAAATTGCTGCTTTCACAAGCAAGGGCTTGGGACCAAGATCTCCGGAAATTGAATTGCGAACGTCTGAAGATGGTATGTGTAAAGAGTTTCAGATTTTCATAATAGCAAAGATTGCTGCACGATAAAATAGTTCAGTGCTGAAGATGATTTTCATGAAAAGGTGCATGAAATAGTGGAACTAAATATAAAGACTTGCWGTGTAGCACGCTATCAGAAGATTTTGTTGTTGTGCATTATTAAGATTCATGATCACATCACCACTTGCGTTAGCCCCACTKCGTATTGAGAAAAGAAAAGTCAACAGCGCATATAAAGACATAGTTCCAGTCAACCGCAGACAACGGTTTCGACAGATTTCTTTTCTGTAACCGGAATACGATTACGAACAAACACCATTACGAGCAAGTAGCCATAGTTTGAGTTAAAAAGATGACATCTTTTAAGATGTTATTACAATGAGCTTTCCTCTGTATTTTCAACAGTTCCAAGTAGATCAGTCATAGAGGTCAAAGCAAGATTCACTAGTCACACAAGCCTTCTTGTAGAATGGAAATCGATCCCYACCAAATACATTCATGGMATTTTACGAGGCTTTAGAATYGAATACTGGGTTGCTGCTAATAACAAAGACCAGAAAAKGAAGAAAACAGGATCCAAAGCTCGAAGTTTGGAGCTGAAGAAACTATTGATTTACACCAAATATGCCATACAAATTCTAGGATTTACTTCAGCTGGAGAAGGAGAAAAAAGTTACATCGTTTACGCAACTACAGATCAATATAGTAAGTATATGATTTTGATTAAACGGATTCATTTGCATTGATTCACAGGTTCGGAATAAGAGCTTTCTAGCCGTCTACCACAGATTTCTTGTGATATATTTTTTGGAAAAATTCGTGATCTTTTTTTTATTATTATTATTTTTTTTAATTTTTATTCCAATATAATAAATATAAATAATACTACATTACATTTAGTGCAACAAAAAAAATCGTGCTCTATAGGCTGTGACAAAGCCCGATCGAACGCCCTTTGAGCGTGTATTCAATTTGCTAAAATTGCATTGTACGAAAAATGGATCGATCATATTTTTCACTTCAAGTTACTTAAAGTGCAGGGCTCAACAGGTCAAACAGTCAAAGATTTACAGATACATCACGAAGAGACAGACTAGTTGTTCAAACGGGACCATAGATCGAAATAATGGGACGAAGTGCTCGACCTGCCTAAATCTCCTTAGTGCCTAAAGTAGTATGGATAAGTCACTCTAAGGCAAATAAACGTCCACAATGTCCCCTAAGATTGCACCAAACTATTCACTCTTACTTTGAGTTTTGAATATTTATTTTACAGCACCAGGAGCACCCCCACAAAATCTACAAGCTTTCAACAAAATCAGCCCAACCAAGATCCTCGTCCAGTGGGAGCCAATCAAAAAGCCTTACGATGTCCATGGCATTCTGCTCGGATATAAAGTCTACTACAAACCAGTGCAGGTGTCAAATCAGACCATCGAAGAGCCACAACTCTTTAGAGAGATAGTTATAGAAAAACCTAATCAGATTTCTTTAGAAATAAGGAATTTGAGTGCATTTACACGGTATCGTATTTACGTGCTGGCGTTCACTATAAAAGGAAATGGAGTACCGACTAAGTCCATTTTGGCAGGTAAATGATCCAGTGAAGAATACATGATTTCAATGAAAACGTCCAGTCTAGTCATTACAGTGACTGTGGCCCTAGTCTGCGTCCAGGGTGCCTTTCTCGTTTATAGGCGCCCAAATACGTGTTTGCTTGCTATGCTGTTACTCACTAAACCACTTTTTTTTCTACATAGAGACGTGCAACTGCCACCGAATGCTTCACACCAATTGGTGGCCCAGCCCGCCATACGTGGAAAAACCAGGTTCACTCAATAATTCAGGAATCATTCCACCAGTCTTAGAGAACGCAGTTAAGAGATGTTGTSAAGACTGTGCCGAATTTGGGGAAACAAAAGTTAATTACACGAAAACACCATATGGCAAGTCAGCCATGAAGAAAGGGCTGCAACAATTCAAGGAAAATATCGACGACGGAGAATTGAGTTTTCCTGTGTATGGCTTCATGGATCAAAAAGTTTATTCAGGSTCGTATGGTTTTGCTCCTTTGGTCAAGTCCCCAGGAGTAGCGATGATTATTATCGGAGATGAAGAAGGMACGGCWGCGATGATGCTGATTAGGTCGATTATACTGTGCTGGCCGATAGTCTTTCTTGATATTATGCTGCTTTGGRTTCTTAGTATCCTTATCTGGTTCGTGGTGAGTATATTGAACCAAGGGAATGGTGGGGGTCGTTACGAGATAGGGGTGCCAATGTTATGTGCAAATAGGAACCTTTTCCTACAATTTGATGCAGCCCCTATAATTGACGTCATCATCTTAAGAAGCAAAAAGTTTATTCATCGCGAAAAGGGAACTTTAAATGTAAGAATGAGATTCTAAATGTACTGTGGAGATTCGCCTACAGATCTCTTCCCTATCTCTCTCATACAGTAAGAAAAACTGGTCGGCCTTTCTGACACTTCTAAACTACCAATTTTCTCTCACAAGGAAACATTCAACAATTCTCGACACTTTCCACATAACATGCTACAAGGAACATGGGAAGGAATGTGGTGGGCGTTTGCTTCCATGACAACACTCGGGTAAGTTTACTGTATTTTTCAACTTCGTTTCATAAACGTCCGCCATCTYAAATTTTGACTATTTAGTCATTTTGTTTCATTTTCAACGACTCTGACAGATACGATCATGGGCACACATCAAAAAGKAAATACCGAAAAGGACGAATGTTTGTGTGGCCTTTGCATTACTAATAAGTACTATAAACAGAAAGAACGATTTTGAAAAAGTGCATTAAATTACATTATATATAATGTGACATGTGTTTTTCGATTTTCTACAGTTATGGAGACCGCATTCCTCGGACACCCATGGGTCGCATTATTGGTATCATATGGATCCTAATTGGAGTAATTCTAATTGCATGTTTCAACTCTACCATGACTTCCGTCCTTACTTCTCGCATATTAGACAAAGAAAGCATGTTATATGGGACCAAGGTACAATATGAGTATTGAAAAAAAAGCATCCAGTTGAGCACCACTGAACAATTGACTTTTTATCATATTCAGATTGCAGCCATTCAAAACTCATCCGAATACAGATTTGCTGTGCGAAAAAATGCCAATGTCAACCCTAACGGTAAACAAACGAACAAATAAGACGTTGTTGTTAGTGCGCTGTGATGCCCAAGCATTGCAACGGCAATAAATGCGATTTTATTAAGTATGTTCCTCTGGAACTAAAAATGAACATGATCGAAGTTATTTTCAAAAGGGCGTGGTCAGCTGATGTGCACCAAGATATGATTAGCCAAAAAACAAAAATGAAGCCTCACTTATACCTAATAAGAGGAAAAGAATCCTGATTTTAAAGCGCGCCTGTACGTCCAGAGACTAACTTGGGCAATTTTTCCATGGCACTCATTCTTTTCTTTTACCTTAGGTAAAAAGTACTCGAATCTAGATGAAATATACCAAGCACTGACCAAACGTGAAGTGAAAGGTATTCTGATAGATGCCTATACAGCAGGAAGCAGAGCCGAACTCTTTAACCGATCAGACATTAGAATCAGTAAGCTGTACGACTACTCGTCCGCGTATGGAGTCGTCCTTGGAGGTGAAAGCAAAAAGCTACAAAAGTGCTTCCATAGCTATCTCAATGAACATCGCTCATTTGTATCTGAAATAATCCAGAAAAACACGAAGACTATCAAGGTAACTGGAAGACTATTTACTTAGTTAGTGATATAGAGAAGATTAAGTTTATCCGTTCATTCACCTTTTTACGCATGCTTTTTTTTCTATATTTCTTTCCCTTTGTACATGTATTCAAAATAAATTGTGGCTACTAACGGTAAACTGCGTCGGTGTTTGTAAAGAAACAGTTGCATAAAAAGATAAATTTAACACCGTAAAAAAGTACGTAAAACAACTTACTGACTTTTCGGACGTTAAAAAATAAATAATTTTGTTGTTGCTGTTGTTTTCTTCAATGCAAATCATCCAGAGATCGCTAGCGCTTCGTGATAGAGATCTATCTTTTTCAAGGAGTTTTCAAGAACTTTTTCCAAATTTTCAGATTTTCAAGGAGTTTCAATGCCACTGCACGGACCCTGATTACAGTTCTCATTTGATCGACTACTAACATATGTTCTCATCCCAACTTTATGTTTTTATCTTAATATTTAATTTCTTTTTTGCTGCATTGTAGATCAATTTCATTTATAAGAAAGCGTTTTTAATGAATACCATATCTCTCATTATACAGGAATCAGGCAGGGCATTGAGTGTACAGAGGTCACAGGGTCTCTTTGACCCCAGATTTCCAACTTATCTCAAGTCAGTCATCGTCTGTGCTTCAATACTGATCCTGCTATTTCTAGTTGGAGCAAAATTTTCTTGTGCAAAGAAATTTGGATGGATTGCAAGTACAGGTACATGTGGCCTAAGAAACATTATTGATGCTTTGCTTTTGATGTATTGAAGTTTTGATTAGTTAGAGCACAGGTGCGTATTCTACAGGCTTGTCATTCAAAGCCCGCAACCAGCAAATTCAACCATCTTTTTTGCTACTATTGCAGTTGTAATGCACATAAAGTTTCTCTTTCAGAGCAAGCACTTACTTCCAAATTAAATGAAACCTTTGTATTTGTCTAATACTCAAAAAAATTATTATTTACAATTAATGAGTATTAATTTGTAATTGAAAGTAATCAGAATAAATCACTCAACTGAACAAATGAATTTTAAGGATTAATTTCACTTTCTTAAAGTCCTAAGCTCCACATTTTGAACACAAAAAAAGAACTTCTAGTAAGTCTAAGGACTGACCTGACCTGTATTTGAAAAATTAAATGAATAAATGAAATTACACATTCCTACATGTTACACTCTATACTTTTCTAATATTTCAGGGAAGTCAAAAAAGTACCAACGAGCCACAACACACGAAATGCTTCTCGACAAAAAGATGTTACGCAATGAAATGTCATTCATTGTTGAGGTATTTTTTAGAAACTGTCAACAGCGAATGGCCTACCTAAAGTACAAACACCTAAAAGAACTACAACTACTTACAAAACTTAAAAAGGAACATGACTACGGACCTGTACAGAAAGGATCATTCACAAAGAATAATTTGTGGTCTGTCCAGTGCAACCCTAAAGGAAATATGTTTTCTTCAATATTGTTTAAGAGACATCAAAATGTAAGAAGTGGCCAAGCAAATGGCTTCTCATTCAAAGGATTTAAAAAGTCGAGAGAAAAGGAGACAATAGTCTGATATTCAACGTATTTTTGATAGAAAGATATTCGTTCATTTATACTAAAAAGTAGCTAATAATAATAGACTTGCTTACTTTGATAACTGCCAAAAATCCTGATCAATCATTATTATTATTATAATATTGTGAAGAGTTATTGTTGTCCTGAAGAATTGCTAAAGATTACAGTAAGAAAGGTCAGAGAGATGTGCATAACATAACTCCTTCATTATTATACCTCATAGAAACTTTGAATTTTTATGAAACACTGGACAAGCATTTGTTGATCAAGTAACATCTCCACAGAGAAGAAAACTTGTGAATGTTTGAAAAATAATCTTTAAAATTAAGACAAAATCTAAATCCTTGAATACTAATAAAGTGAACAGTTTTACAAGTCTCCCTTGCCATTCTCACTGCCAGCTTCAGCACATTTTCTAAATAATGGCAGCTCGTCATAATAAGTATTATTGGTTTCCTCATTGCCTCAGTAAACAGCAAAAGAAACTTGAAGCTATAATTGAAAAGAGTCCAGAGTGACAGTAAAGTAACTAGTTTACCGTTAGATTATTAATTGACAATGCGGTACTTTTGATTCAATACCATAGAACTCTTAAAGATTACTTTGATTCCTGCGTAGATACTAAATGCATGTTTATGTACTTCAAGCTGCTATTTATTTGTTTATCAATTATATTATTTGTATTAGAACTTTTGAATTTTATTACCAAATTAAAGATTTTGAATTATTTTATATTTAAGAAGTAAACTTTTACAAAGAGATGTAGATATATTATTATGTAATAAATATATTGAAAGACACAACGTTTGATATTTTGAATTAATTAATTATTTATTATTTTATTAATTATTAATTAATTTTCAATTTTCAAAAAAAATATATTGAGTATTCGAACAATTGAGTTTCGAGTTTATTGAGTTTTGAATCTAATCAATCTAAACATCTCATGTTTTGAGAAAAGACAATATTCTCTAGGGCTGATATATTACTCTATGTTATATTTCATTCTCAGAAAATGTAAAATATCTTGAATTCAGTTTTTGGACGTCTCACATATAGTTAGTCTCAATCTCCACCTTGATCTCATTGTCCCTAAAAATCCTGTTGAACCATTCCCCACCCCTTCCTTTGAACTATCAACAACTTGATAATACAAAATATATTGTTGTTGCAAACTTATAAGATTGCATTTGAGACAATGAACAACTTTTAGACTGAAACAGTTACATAAGATCAGTAACATATGGAAACATATTGTTCAGGTATTATTTTGAGTTTCTACTTTTATATTTTATTTAAGAAAACTAGAAAGTTATCTACAAGAGTCATCTTTGCTGCTTTGCTCAAAGTTCATTTTTTCCTGTAAGATTCTGGCATGTTCTTTTTCATGATTCAACCAAGACTGGTACTGTTCAGTGGTCAAAACTTCAGAAGCATGGTCTTTAGACCAGCTCTCAAACATATGTTTTCCAAGTTCATCATATAGTTTTTGTTGTTTTGCATGACACTTTGATACTTCGGCATTCATTCTAAAATAATGTTGATAATAAGATATTATCAAAATAATTTGCACTTTAATTTTAGGGATTTTAAACAGCTAAAAGCTTGCCCAGCATAGAAAGGCTTAGTTTTATGATAATCGTTTATTTTTTATCACATGTTTCCACTTTTTTTTCCTTATTTTTTCCCTTTATTTTTCTTCCCATTCCTTTGTAGCATTATAGTATTAAGCATGTCTACAAAGTAATTCTACTCCAGAATTGACGTAATGAAATTGTTAAGATTATGAATCCACCCTTTAATATCATTAAGGGGTAAAAATAATTTCATCTTACTAAAATAAGCTTAACTTATAAAGTAAGTTAAGTAAGTTAAAGCCTAACTTAAAGTCAAGTTTCAGTAACTTAACTTATAAACCTCACCTTTCACTTTCTGATATAGCACGCTGGAAAAACTGGTTCATTCTTTCTGCATCAATACCATCATCATTTCCCTATAATAAACAAGACTTGCATCAATTAAAAATAATAAAATAAATAAGACTTGCATCAATTCAAATCAGAAAAAAGTTTATTTAATATGCTATGTGCATGGACGTATCAAGTACGACAGCTTCATAGAGTCTAGGACAGCTACAAGATCGAGACACAACAGACAAAATTACTAACTTGTTTTTGGAGTTGTTCTTTACATTCAGTAGCTATAAATTCTCTCAAACTATCGTTCTGATCCTCCATTGCCTTTTGTTCGCCGTTGTGCCGTTCTGAATCTGAAATGCTGTCGTTTTCCATTCAACTGCTTCTTGAAGCGTGTTTATAAAACAACAAAACTTTACTTGACAACGCGGGAATTACCGCTGAGCTGAAGCAACGCAGGAGAAAAAAAGGGTTCCCAAAAATGTGTTTGTCATTGTTATTTTTCTAAAAATCGAAGAAAACCATTTTTATGATAGCTGTATATCTATTAGTTTATCTTAGAGGTTTTTTTTTTCAAATTTATGCTGAAAAATACTTCATAAAAAAGAAAAATATTGCACCATCAAAGGAAACCACGCTATAGAACCCATTCCCCACGGCCAGTTCGTTTACTACTCCATTTTACTCTTACTTTCATTTTTGCTTATTTTTCGATCTGTCAGTTGTGTTGCCGCTATGAGTTGGCCTGAAGTATCCAAAGCGGCGGAGGAAGCGCGTTATGAATTGGTCTTGAGTGGGACCGTTATTTCAGAGCGAATTCTATCCTCTGGGATCGATACTGGAATTTTTGAGTTGACGAAACTGAATTTTCTTCAAATCTCCAACACTGCATTAGCTGAAATACCAAATGAAATTGGCAATTTACTCCATCTTAAAACCCTAGACCTTCATAGGAATGCCATCCAATCGATTCCYTCGTCAATTGGCCTTCTACAAGATYTGAAGACGCTTGATTTATCGGGGAATTCTTTAGAGCAATTGCCAGATGAAATAGGCCAAATAGAATCTTTGCACACTTTCAACTTGAACTGCAACAAGCTCACTGCTGTACCTTCCCTTGAAAAAGCAAGACATCTTGCCAGGCTAGATCTCTCACATAACGAATTAACTAACTTACCAGACGGGATTTTCAAGCTGGAGTTTCTTTCAGAACTGAAGGCAGCTCATAATTCAATTGGTTCTCTAAGTGAAGATGTTTCMAGCTTGCAATCTCTTAAAATTTTAGACATGTCCYACAACAAAATCAATGAGCTCCCATCAAGCCTTGCAAACTGCTTTAAACTAAAAGAATTAAACCTCAAAGAAAACCAAATCAAGGWTAACCGTCTTACCAAGCTCATCAACCAATGTTCAACAAAAGCAATATTGGACTATGTTGCCAGCAGCAAGGAAAAGGGGAAAGGGAAAAAAGGAGGGAAAAAAGCAAGAATGAGAAATGTGAGTGAAAGTGAGCAAGCAGAAGCAAAAGGTCCAGTTGTAAAGGTTATCCATGGTGAAAAGATTAAAGTGCTTGTTACATCAAGTGYTTTAGAAGTTCGACCTTTCATTGTCTGCACTCTGGTCAAGAATTTAGATCTTGCAGATGTTKCAAAATTTAGAAAATTCATTGCAATTCAGGTAATGTCAAAAGATCCCTCTGCATTAATCTTGTAGATTCCATTTGAGCATGTGTACGCCATTTCTTTGAAAGAAATAAGAAAATTTGCACATTTGCTTAGTGATTTGAGATAAATTGAATCTGCCCTGGTAATTATTAAGCATTGTATCTGTTATTATTTTCAGACAAAACTACATGAATCGCTCTGTGATCACAGAACGCAAGCAACAATTGCCACTCACAATCTATCGTCATTGACACTGCCACTGGTGTATGATGCAGGTAAACCTGATGAAGTAAATCTTACACCRCTAGGAAGACAGAAGACTATGAATGCACAAGAACTGATTGCTACTCTGAAGACTGAAGCATTGAAACAAAAACAGCAGACTAAAAGGAACCCTTCAAAGTCRGGATTGTACAAGTAAGGCATGCTTCAATGCTGCATTCAATGCAAATAGGATGCAACTATTTGTTACCTGTAGTAATATTTTCTCTATATACTTATATACTTTCATATGCATATTATTGGCATTTGCATTTGGGTCAACTTTACTGGTGTCAGCTATTTTGTAAAATAAAATAAATTTAAAATTAAGTAACAATGTGCGCAAAAAGCAGGCAACTTTCTATTGTTCTGCGGCAATTGCAACTTCCCCACATACGAATGTCTTGGCCTTCACACTKATTATATATCAACCTATGGGTAACACATTTTTAAAATAAAATGTGAATAAACTCTGTTTTGAAACAAAGTTTCTTTTGCATTAAATGATCTTGTCCAATCATAAGCACTCAAAACAATAGCCAAAAATGCTTCTAATTTGCTATGTTCCCCACATAGAATTGCTATTAATATTAAAGCTAAGGAAAGCTTTTATGAAGTCGGAATCAGATATTAAATAAAATATTGAAAAATGCGCTTACTTTTGAAATTATGTCAAATTTTAATGTTTTAACCAATGAGATGGATGGATTATACAATACCAAATTAGCACCTTCGTGCATTCCATTGCCGTTTGTTGCCTGCTTCTTACTCGGACCATTACTTATTWAATATAAAATAAAAATAAAATGAAATTTTGGTAATAATTGTTGAAAATTATTTGATGATTCTAGATTCCTTGGTCTTGTGGATGGAGCAGCTACATGTTCCTTTTTGAGGGACTCATCTGACAAAGTTSTCTCTCTTCCCCCAATAACAAACAGCGAATGCAGCAAGGTATATTTTCAGAAAATTGCACTTTAAAACTAAGTCCATTAATAATGATTAATGGGAGACTTGTTACGAATTCAGCATATTATTGACAGTCCTTGTACTGACCCTAAATTTCAAAGCTTGGCTAAATATTAAACTTGAACTACTTCCATACRAGTTAGTGTCACCCCTTACCATCTTGCATTTTGATATTGTAGATTAAGGCCGAGGTTGCGGATGTACTCATAGAAGTCACATCTTCAAAAGAGCTTGCCATATGTAAGCATGTCATGGACACTCTYCTCCAGAGAATGGTTGAAGCTGGAATTAAATCGACTGGAGATAAAAATGAAGAGAGTGCGAATGCAGAACAGTTTCAAGAGCCTGCCAGTTTGGTTTTGGAACAAGTCAGAGTTACAAATAGCGAAGGACAATTGAAAGTTGTCTATCCATCGCATGTTGATCTTGTTACAGAGTCATTGAAAATTGTTCACCTTGACTGAAAAAGACTTAGACGTACAACATATAGTCTACAACATACTAGCCTGTGTACATCCATTCCCACCCCTCCCCTACGGGAAAAATTTTGGGAGGAATCGTCATCTACAGTAGAAATGAAAATTGTCATGGATTCTGTCTTGTCAGGGAAAAATAGGCCTTTTGCATGAAACGGTCACATGGTACAAAATCCAACATACTGGATGGCAAAATACCCACTGGGATTTTCAAAACAGAAAAGTCAAGCTTGATGGGCTGCGTTCCTTTTGTTTTTGAGGTTGTTTACATTCTTTTGCCATCCAGTATGGCGGATTTTATACCATGTGACCGTTTCATGCAAAAGGCCTATTGTGCTTGTAAAAACTGCTTTACATGCTGATAGAACGTTKAAACAATCACAAGATAAAAAGCTTCACAAAGAATGACAGTATAACATGGCTGTGGAATCTTATGAAACCCTACAAGATTATATTAGGGACCATTCATAAATTAGGCCAGGGATATCCTGCCGAGATAGCCAACCGCTAGGCATAATTAATGGTCCCTTATTACAATACAGTGCAGAAAATGTTGTTAGATCAAATAGATACAATAGGCAATATGCATTATGACGTCACTTTGCTACGACTAGAAAGCCTGCGAATGCACTAATTTTTGTGCTATTTTGGTTATGCACAATTTCAGTGTATTCGCTCTTGCTTTTTGCAGCAGCCACTTTGTCAACTCTTAGGAATAAAGGCAATTTCTCATTTGTTAATTTTGTCATCCTTCAAAAGCAAAAAGAGTAAGAGAGACTTTGAGAAAGTTTCGAGCTTGAGGGCATAAACATATCAATACAGCACTAAATTCACTTAACCATAGTCAGCTATGCTATTTTTGAATGGTTAAAGAAACTTTTGAAGATTTAAGAAGGTTGACAAGTTGTCAGATTATCATCATGGAATCGTCAAAGGTCTATTTTAACCATTCTAAAAAACTGGAAAAATAAAAATCACAAAAACACATTTTGGTTCAAGTTTATTAATCACAAATTTCTTTATAGATTATAGTGCTATAAACAAAATAATAATTTGAAGAATTTTGCTATTTGCTCAGAGCTTGGTATTTCATCCAGCARGAGATTCCAGCTASAGTTATCGTGAAGAATGATTTCTTGTTAAGAGGGCAAAATATGTACACAYAGAAACRTAAAACAATTTTAGGATGTTCTCATTGATTTTCTTAAAAGCCATGGACCTTGACCTGTTCAGGCTTGACAAGTTTGATCAAGAGGAGGAATTCACGCGCATGCTTACGYTGATCTCCTTGTAGCTGGATGACCTCGCCGTACTCGTCGTGATCCACTACAGTACCATTACAGGCAAATTTCTGCAAATGATTCACAATGGTATACAAATCAATAAACTAGCATAACAGTATACTATTCTCAATGCTAAAGAAATAGCTTTCATTGCCACATAAAATTTGACATATTTTCAATTACAGATTGAAAATAGGACAATGCCATAAGAAATTTGTACCCATAACCAAGGAATTTTCTGCCTCTTTGTTGGCAAATTCACATAAAGCAAATCACCTCCCAAGGGCATCATCACATGGTTTAAAGTGCACATGACACCTTTTAGAAAAACACTTWTATCCGAAMGTTTACAYGCTGCCAACTACTTCTGCGAAAAAAGAAATAGATTTTGAATTGTATTTTCTGAGTTATAGACATTTGAAAATTGAAAATGCAAATGAAGTGACGTCAACTAAGGAATTGATCCAGTCTTTTTACATTGTTTGCGCTATGCTGTTCTTGGTTGAAGAGCACAAATCATCAATCATAGTAATAATTGAGAGCTGAAAATGCTTTTTCCAATGTAACAAAAAGAATAACGTTCTCTTTCATGATTTTATATATTAAATCATTCCTTAGTAGACGTCACTTCATTTGCATTTTCTAAGTTTTAATCGCCCATAACTTACAAAATACAATTTGAAATCAATTTCTTTCTTCACAGATGAACTTAGCAGTATTTTCTCTTTTGGATGAGAGTGAATTTCTAATGGTGTCATGTGCACTTTAAGGAGGGACAATCAAACAAAGGCAACAAAAAAGGTATATTCTCTTCGCAAGCTGCTCAAATAAATCCACAACATTTCKATACGCTACAAAGCACTATTTCCACATAATTCCTCTGAATGCCTTTAATATTTAGTATTCTTTTAATGTTGTTGGTTGTGGTTTGCATCAAAATAGTCAAGTCAACAATTTTTGTTTTCTATATATTAGGTCACTTCGTACTTCAAAAGAATTAGCATTGAATTAGCAAATACGGAATTTCATAAAGCAAAGTATAATTATCAAGTGGATGATAAGTCAAGTAAAATGTAAAATGATAACTAACCTTTTTAAATTGCCGAAGRATTTTCTTCAAGTCATACTCATCTGAGATTCCTTGGATGGTTGTCAAAGTCTTTCGGCCATTACGCTGTTGAATTCTTATATGGATATCGTCGACTTGAACTGATGTTTCGTCTCCTTCTGACACTTCGTCGAAAGGATCTAGGTAACACAGCGAATACAGTATTTTTCGATCAGAGCGAAAAGAATGACACAAAATGGCAACACTACGAAGAGGCGTCTAYAAAGACGTGTTTTGCAGGAGGCAAAAACCCAAACTTACTTGTGCTTTTTAGATTCTCGATCGACATGCGAAGTCTTTAGAAATTTAAGTTTCCTCTGGGTGAAATAGAACCTTTAGATGGTTTCGTGTTTGTTTGATTGATGCAGATGAAAGCCAAGCTTTCGAGTTTTATTTTGAGCAATGTCGCAACCCAGAAGATCACGAAAGGGAGGTCATTGCATGACGTCACACGCATATCAGCCCCCCTCACTTATGGCCCTTTTTGAAAAGTCTTTTGTAGCTCAAAATGTTTCCTTTTATCTTATAGAAACCTGATAGAGTTTAGAGATTAGCTATYCAGATCTTAGAAAAAAGTGCTGCAGCTTTTCACGGTCTACATTGCATTATTTTTTTCAGGTACTCAATGAAGAAAGGTATTTTAGAATCAAATAAATAACGTGCCTTTTATTATATACCGCTGAGCCAAGGCGCGCGGACTCAGTTCAAATGACGTACTTCCTTTGGCGGATTTCTTACTTGTACTTTTTTCCACGAAAACAATTCATTGYAAAAATGAAAGAATTTTACTCWAAATCAGTTTTCTAACAATCATGCATGATGCCTTTGAGCATGTACCAATCTTGGAGAAGCTGCCTTTGCAAATTGAATGTATCGCAACCTATGGTAAGTCCCTGGTSCCTTGCCAAGAGCTAATCAACATGAAGAACTTTGTTATTCTTCTTTGTCCAGTAAAGCTAGATGTTATAAAAGCCTAAACCTAGCTTTTATCATTTGAGAGAAAACTGAAACCTTTTCAGTGTATAATCTTGCATATATATTACAATGTATCTCTATCTGATCAATCGATATTTTGCCAAATAACTTTGTAGAAGCTATTTCTTGTCATGAAACTAGGATCTCGTGGGCCATTCCATTTTATATCCACCCCCCCCCTCCCCTATAGAAGAGGTCATATCACAACACCCCCTTAGATCAAAGGAAATTTGATGTTAACAAACCTCCAACCCCCCTAGACAAAGTCTTTTACCAGGGGGGTGTGGATATAAAATGTAATKGTCCCGTCCACATGAGTCCAGAGATGTTGTATATGCAAATGTTTTTATTAGATACAGTTAGTGTCCACACAGTCCCTCTACATGCACTTGATGTCTCCTCAGTTTCTCTGGAGATTTCTGTATGTTCTTTTTAGAGTGGGATTTTTGCATACAGTAAGCTTATGTCTCAGGTTATGCAGTGAATGCACAAGGGCACAAGTACCCAGATATTTTTGTATAGGAGGACCTCACAGAATGTACAAATGCGYGTATTGTGTTGACTTACAATTTGAGATATCTGATTACATAGCAGATGCAGGCAGTTGTAAGTGATTTGTATCCATGTATGGACAGATTTTTTAGTATCCAAAGAAAAGGTGTTCTGGAAACAAAAATCTGTGAACTCTTGTGGACAGGGTGTAGATCACCCAGCCCATGATGCAACRCCAAATACAATCACAATGACAGAGTGAATTTGTTTGATATGAGGATTTTATATAGTGCYGGTGTACACTGTATTGTTTGGTGGAAAGAATGGAATGCAATGTTGAGACCGAGAGCAGAAGAAGATTTCAGGTGGCTTAGTAWGATTGGCAGCACTGTAAATTGAAATGTGCTGTCTCCCTRTAGAGGTAGATTTACTTGATGCAGCTTGACATGCAACAAGCCACATCATAAATCATCTTCAAAAAAAATATTTTTGTTTGATAAGTAATATAAAGACTGCAGAAGAAATGTCTGTTATCATAKCCTGTTCTCATTTCATTCATGATATCTGTTTTAGGTGATTATCTGTTAGTTGGGACAAGGCCAGGTCATCTGTTATTATATTCTGTTACAGATGGATCAGGTAGGTGATCACGAGGTATACAGTGATTTAAACCAACAGTGCAGCAGCTCTACTGTGGCACACCAAAATTATTACCTAACAAAGVAGAAAGTGTTGAATAATCAAGGTTGCAGAAGGTGATTTGCTCACYACCYCCACCCTCCCCTGTACCAACCATTTGGATCTTCCACTGCCTAGCACCATCTTGAGAGGTAGCCATGCTGTTGCATAACAGCAGAACAATAAAAGTGCCATGGTATGAGAGGGAGTGTAGAAGCGATCAAAAACAAATGTTGAGCCTGCAGCAACAGATGTTGTAACTTTTTGTAAGTTCTGCAGTTGCACACCTTTGTGCAAAGGCAACCCTACCTTTCAAGATGGCCTTGCATGCAAAGGCACAAAGAGGGTATAGTTATTTGTACTGGCAGTGGTTATTTAGATTGAATGTATTGATTGTTTAACAGATTAGTTTTTTTGTTTGTTTTGTTTTGTTCTTCATGATAAATGATAGGTGACAACAGATTCAAAGTTGAACTGCGCAGTTCAAACAAACTTTTCTCCAAGAAACCAATACTTCAGGTATATGCACACTCTCAATCAACATCGTTCCTAGTGCCCTCTCTGTAGCTATTTTCAAAATGGCGGAAGCTACAGCAAAGACCCTGGAAAACACTGAACTAAGACGATTTGTGATTGGCTGATAAAGACATCATTTTTGTACCGCTTGCCATTGGATGTTTATTTTTAAGCTATGTTCGGCTATCAATCGGTGTTTGTAGCTATTTTGAAAATAGCTACAGAGAGGGAACTGGGAATGAGGTTGACTCTCAATAACCAAATAATAGACTAAAATTATGGTTTTGATATGGATGTATACTGTACATCACGTCGAAAAAATTATAAATAATCATTACAGTGATAAATTCTTGTCCGTGTTATATAATAGTATAAGATCATATTTATAATTGTTACTTTATTGTTATTATCATTAGTTGGCAGTTGTGGAAGAGCTGAACTTGTTAATTAGTTTGTCAGGTATGATATGATTCCATTCCATGATGTCAATTCAATCACTTAGTCACTCTACCTGTTTAGATATTACACGTAGCTTCATATTTTTCAGACTCTGTTGTTAGTTGCCATCATTTGGACACTTTTGCTATTATATCATCCATAAGCAAGACAAAAGGGGCTACATACTTTGCTGTGGATTTAATTGTAAGTACAATTTAATTATTGACAGGAGAGTTACATGTACTATAATATATAATATGTAGCTATTTTCAACAAACATATATTTCAGACATATTTTGTTATTTCTGTTAGTTACCTGGGGATGAGGCTATGATCATGAGGGATAATTGTTAAGTTTCTTATACAGATATTCAGTTCATTTTCTAATCRAACATGAGGTCTGCAGAATACAGGATACACCTTCACTTTGTTAGCTGTAATAAATAATTTAAAAAAATACTAGAACTTTTGCATCATTTTGATATACTTTTTTTCTATAAAATCTCAGGTCAGGAAGGCTTCATCAGTATTTGGTAAGTTRATGGTTTTGCTTTGCATGTTTATCTATGGCTCATATTATTAATGTGAAATACATGTCATTGATAAATTGAATAATTTTCCTTTATGCACGGTCTACAAATCAATCCTCTTGGGATGCATAATTAGAGAAAGGAAAGAGGAGCTCCAGACACAGTCCACACATTTGAATACCTAATAACTCAGCATGGATATTCAGCATACACATTCAATGTTGATAGGTTTATTTTTAAAATTGATGCAACAAAGAAAGTTTTTAAGGATTCAAAAATCTGGGCCTGTGTATCCCAAGAGGACTGACTATGCAGATTATTATTGACAGCGACGTATACAACAGTCAAGAAGACACCTTTCAGACTAAAGTAATTATTATTAATAATTCATATGTGATATTTTGTTAGATCCATCACCTCCATTTGAACTGAAACTCTGTGTAGCAGTTAAGAAGAAAATCCAGGTAATTTAATTGTTTCCTAGAAGCTAACTAAATGATAGTTATAGGGATTTATAGGTTTTGTAATATAACTAATAAATTATGTTACTTTTAATTCTAATAAATGTTCTTCAGCTGTACACTTGGAAAAGTGGTGAATTCCAAGAAATTCCSCCAGAGTTAGGTGTTCCTGATATTGTACGAGCTGTAGTATGGACAGGCGATAGTCTRTGTGTTGGATTTAAGAGGGAATACACTATTATAAAGGTGACTTTAAACCTGTTGGTTTTTAGCAGTAATTGRTGCTTAAAATATAATGCATTGTAAGCATTTAATGTAATATCTGATTTTGTGACCTCACTTTGCTTCYTAACCAGAATATATTTTATTTTATTGATTCTAAGTAAATGCATGATTTGTTCTTGATCCATTTATCAGAAAACTCTTTTTCACCAGGTCAATAGTGGAGTTTCAACTGACTTGTTTTCTACTGGGAGGCATTTAGAGCCTACAATTGCAAAATTACCAGATAATCAACTTATCCTATGCCGAGATGACATGAGTATACTAACAGATAGTTCAGGAAAGCACACCTCTAAACAATCCATAACCTGGTCAGACACACCCATAGCTATTGGTAGGTATACCAACAAAATAGAACAATGGAAATGCACTAGAAATGAAGAAAAGGAAAACTTCCATTCTTTAATTAGAGGGGCCAAAATGCACCTCGCCAATGAACACTTAGCTTCAGCACACACATTTCGAGGAAAAACAAGAAAGAGACTTTGCTTTCATATTATACTAGTACATACTTTCTGTAAAGTTTTAGAATGCAACACTGCAAGGAAGATAGGAAGATTGTGTAGTTCCAGAAAACATCCATACCCCCACCACGGAGGGTATGGATGGAACAACGAAGTCTAGCACCACATTGATTTGATATGCATTATATCCATGAACTTTGCGAATTCTACCGGAACGTGAGCAAGTAGTTTCTTTACTGCAAAAAATTGCACTTCTATTATGATCTAGAAATCGATCTTTTCTTCCAAAATATATATTTTTTTAGCATAGTAAATCTTAAATGTTCGATTTTCGTGTTTTACCTAAAGCTCAAGCTTCTTTGTGGTCATTAAACAACCACGCCACGCGCTTTGACTAACAAATGAATCTAGAATCTTATTTAATATTTATACACTTATTCAATAAAGAAGGATTCTTTTGCCTTTTTCTATCATCAACCTTTCTTTCTTTTTAAATACAAGTACATGTACATTGAGTTTTAGCTTCGCAGACTTGTAAAAACGTGTACGTGAATTTTAGCGCGGTA